ATATATATGTTATATATGTTATATATATATGTTGCTATGATAAATCCTTTTTTTTTTTTTAATTAAACAAGCCAAAGTAAAATCTTCTTATTAGGATAAAGCATTACACCCGTTAGATATAGTACAATACTTGACACGGAAAATAAGGTGTGTTGTATACAAAACGGAAGCAAACCTTTAATCGGTTTCATTTTAACTCTATCGACCGATACAAGGCTTGGTCATCGTTGTATCTTCCTCTGATAAACAAGACGCACCTACGAAGTTTTTCAAGCATGATATATGTACGATAGTCTCTTCCTTATCTAACGCAAACGATCGAATATCTTGAAAAATGATCGAAAGATACTTGAGACTCTTCTTTAACGAAAAATCTTCCGGTAACGGTGTTTTTTATGGTTGAATATGATATAATGATTTATTTTTATTACTTTTAAATATAAATAAAAAGTCAGAGAGAAGTTTGTCTTCACAAAAAGAGATTATTATGATCACGTCATTACAATCTAGCATTGTCACGTGTGTCGTTTGTTATATCGGTAATTGTTTGCGTGTGATGTTCGGTAACCAACGTTGCTGTGGGCCGCAAACTATCAAACGTTGAATGAAAAGACTAGAGAATTAATTGTTTGCTTACATAATAGTGCATAATGATTACTATTGAAAACGACAAGCTAGTAAATATCTACTTGTTGATATAATAATATTATACACGCAATAGTTTATAAAATAAAAATCTTTATAGTATCGTTTATTATCGTAGTTTCCTTTATTTTTTCTTTTAGGTTTATTTTAATTTGTATTTTATTTTTTTCTTACACTATTAACACCATTCGATTTATTTTATTTTCTTTTTTATTATACGAGTATACGTCTTTCAAAACATCATTTCACATCGCCGTCGTCGTCATCATCATCATCGTAGTTCAGAAATCTTAAATTATATAACCAATAGCCTTAGTCTTGAGTAACGCAGTGGAATAGGTCAATATTTGACATTGGTCAGACGTCGGATAAATGTATACTCATGACCTGCGCGCACTCGCCTGTTGTATGCTGTGTACGTGTGTATGTTTGTATGTATGCGTATATGGAAGACATTACTTGTTAAGGTTAATCAAAGAACGTTTATTCTACACGCTAGTATACTTGACTTCGTACACGAATGTGAACGTGAAAGGGTGATGTTATCTTCCATGTGTAATTAGAAATCGTATATTTTAACGAACTGTTACGAGTTTTATCGTATTTGATCAGTCACTGTTAAAATATATATATATAGGATTTACTAAAATTTCATTTAAATGTAATAATTTATTACATGACAATATTAGAAGAGGGATCTTAAAGAAATAGGATACGAAGACCGCGAATGGGACAGTAACAATGACGGGATTTGGTATTTGCGGCAATAAACTTTCTTTCACTTAGTTCCTAATACCAATTAATAATAATCATAATAATTTATTAAATAGAATCAAAATAAAAGTGAAACATTTTTGATATCGTTAATAAATTTTGTAAGAATTCTTTAAAATGGAAAAATTCGATATCGCTGGATAAATTTTTGTTTCGTTTTGTTTTAAAATTGGTACGCAAAATGCAATTAAATTCGAACAATAATAAAATACGAAATTATAACACATTTTATTTACATTGACAATAATACTGAAATAATAATAATAATATTATTATTATTATTTTCTTTCGTGTAAATATTCTTAAGTACATATTTGAATAAATATATTTCACAAGCATCGCAATAATAATTAGTTCACACAATAATGATAATGCTTTGTAATATTTAATTGAGCATGGATAAAACAAGAAGGATAAAAAGATAAATTTTATTTTAATTTTTTTACGTCGTTTTAATTGTTTTTTTTTATTATTTTTCTATATTATTTTTTTTTTTTTTTTTAATTTTTTTAATTGTCGAATTGACGTATGTACAACATATGTCAATAACCGTGAAACGGAAGAGAAAGATTTGTTTTCTATGGTACTCGATAAAATATAGACCTTTTGTTTCGAACTACCATTGACGCACGTTAACTACGTTATATGATTCATTCGTGTGAAAGCAGTGAATTGCTTTTGAGACACGCTCCAGAAAGGATAAAGAGAGTCTTTCAGAAGGCAAATGTTTGTTTTTGCGAAAGCATCGTTCCATCCGTTGCAATCGTTTTCCAACTTCTATCTATTTTTGTAATAGGTACGTGTCTTTCTGAGTGCAGTTGCATGATCGAAGACACCGCAGAACAGCTGTTGTTTTCGTTTAACAACTTCTTCTAGATAGAATGTTTGTCTTAGTTAACGATAGAGCTTAACTTTGCTAGAATAACACAGAATAGATTTTCAAAATCAAATTATATAATATATTCATTCATTTACATTATTCTCATACTTAGCAAGTACAAGTGTTATTCTAAATCGTTCCAAGAAATAAAAAAAAAAATGATTATCAAATCACTATTAAGCATATGTTTAATATTTCAACCCCCAATAGGGTTGAAAAAGATGTTATAAACTTTGTGAAATGAAAACAATATCATTATTTCTTTCTAGCAAAGGATTTTGTTTAATGCACGTATACGCAAAAATTTGTTCACAAGAACAAGAGGAAATGGGAATTTTAATTCCCGTATTAAAATACACTATTTAAAAGTTACAGTATTAGGATATTTATTAATTAAATAAACTTACAACAACTGTAAATATATAAATAAATAAATATATACATTTATATTATAAATTTAAAAAATGTTCTTATTTATTATTAATATAAAATAATAAATAAAATTATTTTATAAATTATATAATAAATAATATATAATTATTTATTATATAATGTCGTATAAATTATTATATATATCGTAAATTATAAATTTAAAATTTAAATATATATATATAAATAACAGTATGGTACTATTATATGTACCTATATGCAGCGTCTTCGCGCACGCGACATAATATTTATAAAAAAAAGCCTTTAAAATAACAGATTGTAAAATAGAGTATATCAATAAAAATTTCCAAGTAGGAATAGTTGAAATTAAAGGAATAAAAATTAAAATTTGAACAATGTTGATATTAAACTTCCCTTTTTGAATCTAAATTGACGTGTTACTTCTCAAAATCAAAATTACTTAAAATATTGTAAATTTAGGGGGGCAATTTTTTTTCAAATAAAATCAATCAATAATTTTTATCGTAATTGTCAATTATTTCTTGATGCAATAAATAAATATAGATGATTAACATACAATATTATTATTTTTACAGTTTCGACGTCGAAAATGGAGCATCGACGTTGGACGGTGGAGCCGGTGGTGGTGGAGGGGCCTCCCCAAGTGCAGGGTTGGTTCTCCAAACGCTACCACAAAGAAGGGAGAGTTTCCTTTATCGGAGTGACAGCGATTTTGAGATGTCACCGAAGTCGATGTCTCGAAACAGTTCCATTGCCAGTGAAAGGTAAGAAAATTTTGTTTATTTTATTTTTTCGATTTCCATTTCCTACTTTTTTTTTTATAGATCTCGTTACAAAAAATTTCTATGGTAAAATCGAAGAGTCGGAGGTAAAAATTTCGTAAAAATATATCTCGATCAATTTTCATATAATTTTGTCGGATAATTCAAAAAATTGTTTAATATAATAATTTTCAATAAAACGTGATCTAATATTTATCAGTAATTTTTTATTGACATTGAACGAACCTCGTGCATCTTTCTCAAAGAAAGAAATCTACAATATCGTCTGATGCATTTTTCAATGATTTCAATGCAACGACAGGTATCGTTCATTGGTAAAGTAGGTTTCTGTAATTCGTGGAAAATAAATTCATGCTTGATATTGTAGGAAACTACATTCGAGAATTTGATGTTATCGAGGAACGGCATCGTTGATATGTTTATGATATTATGTTGTTTCTTTTAATAAAAATCGATAACGTTAATTTTTGTAGTAGATGTTTCGTATATAAAAATACGCACGCAGCTGCAATCGCTCACGCAAAAAGAATGTGTATATATAAATATATATATAATTTTTATATTTCGAAAGATGCTCGACGGCCGTTTCGAGCTTCAATACACGTAGGATTCATTTTATTTATTTTTATTTCTATTCGTCATATGAATCCAAGAGCTGTATGAAAACAGCCATAAATGTGTGTAGCTTAAAAAGTATATTGTAGCTTTGGTGACGGTGATGCTTTATGATATATTTTATATTCGTTTTCATCGATCATACGTTTTTGTCTATCATCTTTTTTTAAGCTTGCTTTTACGTACGATTTTTATAAATATTTTATGATACATACGTTTTGTTATGATTATAAATGAATAAATTAATACTTTAAATATTATTTACGTAAAAGCAAGCTTTTAAACATTAGTGATAGTTTTGATCTTATTTATAAGTTTTCGAGTTTATATGTTTCTTGTTTGTTCGTAAATTGTTTATTTTTCTTTATCGAATTATCAATCGTGTTTGTAAAAAAGAATTTTGTAATATGTTTTTTATTTTTCTTTTCTTTTGTGTTTTCAAAATTCCCTCACATTATAAATTATTCAAATATTCGGTGAGGGGTGTAAAAAAATATCATCTATGTGATCCTTGGGTTGCAGGTTCAAAGAGACAGAGCTTCCTGTCGAGCGAGCGTATGTACTCGATCCTATTATTTATTCTCCTATATTTCATTTGTTTTCAATAATATTTAGATAATACACTCACAAATCTGTGATTAACACCCCCCGCCACAGTAATCGGTCGTTTTATAAAAAGGAAACGTTTCTTTTTTTTTTTCTTTTCTTTGTAATTCTTTTTAACACTAAAAAAAAATAATCCACAGTCTCATTCTTTCTTATTTTCATACTAAAAAATGAAAGTTGCATGAGACTTTTTTAAAATGAAATATGATTTTTGCCAAAGTTCAACCGATTACCCTTCAACCTTTTTCATCCCAATCAATAATTTACTTTGAACCTTTCAACTTCGAGATTGACAGAATATACGGAAATTCATTTTAATTAAAAGCAATGAAAAAAAAAGTGAAGATACGGATGAACTATGGCAATAAGTTTTGTTTTTTTTCTCTCTTTTTCTGCTTTTTAACGCATCACTCTATTCACTATTACATATTTACATATATATATATATATATATAATATATTTTTCTTCTCTGTTTTTGAATTCTTAAACAACCTTGTACAGTAGCAAAATGCACACACGAACATTATATAAATAATCTTTTTTAACACTGCTACATTGCTTTTAAACACATAGACTACATATAAACCTTGTACATAGTTTAAGTACTATATTTATGATGCTTGCAATAGTATACTGAGCGATCGAATTGGCAAATAATGTGAAGTAGTATCGTTGATTGGAAATTATTAATTATTATTAAATATTTAGGTTCAAAATTATGGTGCTGTAGCAAGAATTTAATAAATAGATAGATCGTTACAAATAATTTTGTTATCAATGCGCAATATGAAGAATTTCGAACGCTTGGCTAATTATTGAAAAAATATATTCGAAGCTAATTTGTTCCTTTTTTTTACTTTTACGCGAGATTTTTGAGCTTTTTTCATCATTGAAAAATATCTCTTTTTATATTATTGCGTTTATTTGAATGTCACGCTTATATGTATTCGCGGAAAAGAGAAGAAAAAAAGAAAAGAAATGAGTGAAATTTATAGAAGGAAGAAGTATGCGTATATTTTTACAAGCATGTTGAACAAATAGTGGAACGTTTTCAAATAAATGCGAATTCTTATTTTCAGGATATTTACCGAACAGTACAGGTAAGTCCGGCTACTCATGTAATTTCGATGTCCAGCTTTTATTATATTAAAAAATAACGAGAAAAAATACACAAGGAGGAGAACATTCTTTTTGTTTTTTAATGTAAGGGTCACATCATTTTACATTCGAATATGAATTAAAAATGAAATGAAATGATTTATCTTTGAAACGAAACATCTAAGGATACGTGTTCATGGTTACCACGAATTCGTATTAAAAATACGAATATTATATATAAAATGTATAAAAAAAATCATTTAACAATTTACAATATTTTTTTAACTTTATACGGAAAGATTTGTATATATACATATATATATATACATATTTTATTTTATTATATATGTACATATAATATGTAAATACACACACTTTACAAAAAGATTAATTACAATATTATTTAAGTATTCATTTACTTTTAACACGAACAATTGTTTCAGTACAATCGATATCAATATCGATATCGAATCGATTTGTCATCATTGATTACTATTTCGTCTTAATTTTTTATCTCTCTTTCTGTATAACTTTCTTTTTCTATTGAAAGGAGACCGTATCGTTGTAGGAACGAAAGAACGAAAGTGCATAGCACGTAAATATTTTTATCTAAAGTGGTGCAAACAAGTAGTCGATGAAAGGTGGTGCATCTAGGGGTCCCCTGTTATATATAATACGTTTTATATACTTCTCCTCTCCCCATCTGTCGTCAAAAAGATTATCGACACGCTATGTATGGCAAATGAATCCAATGTTTGTTCGACGAAACATCGGCGTCGATAGGTTTTCAAATCTTTGGAGATAATAAAGTACAACAAAAAAATTACATATAGATAAAAATAAAAAGAGAATAAAAACAAATATTCCGTTACTTGACTTATTCGTCATATAAGTCACGATTCACAAACTCGTACTTTAATAACAAACTATCTACGTAAATAACGATTTACTCAATTAACGCGCAATCCTTTTAATTGTAACATTTAAGTGTCGACAATAGGATGTAACAACACACTTATTTACATATATACATATATATGTAATACGTTTGTTGATCGTCATTTTCAAACTATTTTCTTACTTTTTCATGTTAAATCACCACTTCTTCAAGTCCAGTTTTTTTAACATTGCATTTGTTTTAAGTAACGCATAGAATGAAAGTTTAGGAGAAAAAGTTGTTACATCAAATTCGAACCATATCAGTGATTCTCAACGTGGACCATTCATTTCATTGTACGAGTTTGAATATTTAAAAATCTAATTCGAGTAAATTATTCGACAATTCATCAATATTAATATTCGTCAATCAAATCGTAAATTCGAATTAAAAATGTAACTGTTACCTATATATATTTTTCAAATTTCAAATATAACATTAAAAATTATTTTTCAAAATCTAATATAATATTATATGCCATTAAGGAAAGGGGGTCATTTCAATTTTTGATGCATCAAAGTAGGACACGATTTAAAAAAGGTTGAGAGACACCCGTGTTAGATGAAACAAGTGTAGTATAGTGTAGTGATACGAGTCATTATATAGTCAGTCACATGACGAAGGACCGTCGAATAGGAGGACGCACATGTTACGTCAACTGACGTTAAATAATTGACAAGCTTACTTACACACGTTATCGCATTTTCTTTAGGATAGTAGAAGAATTTCTTAAATAACTAATGACAAGATATATGGACAAAAATAAAGAATAGCGTCGTTCATCGAAACAAACTAACTTCGTCTCGAATAACTGTAATTTCTACGAGCGTTACACGACACCGAGTTTACTGGCCTGTTGCTATTTTTGCAATCAAATACAAGCTTATGCATCAGCAAGAAACTGATACATATTTATAAAATGAAGACGGTCATATGACGTAAGTGACCTTAACTTGGCGAATAGCTTGTAAGTAGCTGATTTGGAATCGATCCATATTCCTAAAGTGCGATATGTCGTTTATTACTCATTCACTTTTTATTATTAATAATCTGAAAATAGTAATTAACTCCAAGACATTATGATGTTTATTTGTTGACCTATTTTAAATCTCAATTATTGCAACCTTTCCTTTCACGTTACATGTTTTGCAATAATAATTAAAAGATTAATCAATTTAACGGATTTCGTAAATTCAATTATTTAAACGAATAATCGCATGATTATTTTCAGTGTCTTACGTAAAACTTGCAATATTATGCGCAGCCTGTTCTACGTGACGATCGTATGAACGATCGAGAATATGAAAAGCTGTTAAATCATTAGGAGTCATTAACGTGACCAGGATGACCTAATCAAGCAAACTCTTCTGTCGTAGAACGTCGTTTAAGTTGACCTTTTATTATTTAATTTCGTTCTCCTAAAAGATGTATAAGTGTATGTTGTTTTTAATGAACAATGCTTAGAAAGTTTTATTAGAAAATATAAGTATATATAGTATATATATATATATATATATATACTATTCAGAGATTAGAACTTGACCTATGACATAAATGCAGGTAATTAATTGAAATTATATCTTATTTTTCCTTCATGTTATTTGATATGACACTTTATTTTCCTTATTGGCAGAAAGGATCATAATATCTTTTAATTCGATGCATAAGATAAAAGTTCTACTTCTCGATGCATTATAATTGAAATATTATAATTTAAATCGTATCTCAATTCTTTTATATTTGGTTTAATAACTCCTAATTTCTGCATTAAACTTGTATAACGTATGTAACTATATAAAATCAAAGTTGTTCGATTAAAATTCTAGTTTCTTTTTAGGAGTACGATGCAAATGACCCTGATATTTGTCTAATCGATGTAACTATATATGCGTTGATCGTGTTTACGTCGGAAACTTGCTAACTCAACTCGTGCTACCAATTTCCTTTTTATTCCAATTATCTATCATTCTTGTTATACCAGTTTTAATATAAACGTTCTGTGACAATGTCACAACCACGATATTATTGAAACGATACACGATATTTTACACGATATTGTAGTATTACAATTTTATAATAAAAAAATATTTGTTTACATATATTTGTATTGTTAATTTGAAATCTATTATCAAATAATAGAATAATATTTGTTAGATGAAAAATTTTGCATATTTTTTTGGCTTTTAAAATAATGTAAACGTGATTGGGGAAAAAATTAAAAAAAATCATATTTTATTTGTTATTTAAAATGATTTTTTACTCTTAGTTCGTGAAAATCGGTTATAAAACGAAAACTTAAAAGATAAGAGTTTGACGAGTTTCGAGAGAGAGAGAACGTTAACGGCAATGGAAAAAAAAGCCGAATCGATTAGAATAATTCATTTCCATAATTTCATTTCTTACCTTACGACGAAACTGTAAGAAATTTCGAAGGTTTTGTGCTCGTTGAAAAAGTTCGTAAAATTCATAGAATATTTTTACCCATATAAACTTCTCGAGATACGAATAATAGTATTTTTTCTTTTTTTTTTTTCTTTTTTTATTCTTGCAAAATTTGAAGAGATGCGAATAATATGATTTTCTTATAACTTATTGGTTTTTTTTTCTTTTTTGGTATAATCAAAAGAAAAGAGAAAATACGAGTGAATATCAGAAAATGAACGTGGGCCCTCTTTGATACGTTCGATTTTTAACATTTTTGACAAGGTTAATGCATTTCATCCGTGTTAAGTCAGTCCTCATGAATTTTTTCCATTGAAAAAAATTAAAGTCAGTTTGGTAGATGACTCGTGAAAGCGATTGATTCGAAGAAGAAAATGCCAAACGATCTGAACAAGCGCGTCACGATGTTTCTTTCATGAACTATAACACATAAGATTCTTAACGATTTTTCTATGAAACTTCGTTGATCCGTGATTAAAAAAAAAAAAAAAAGAAAAGAAAGAAAAAATTAAAATAGAAACTAGAAAGAAAACTCGTCGGATAAGAAAGAAAGAAAGAAAGAATAATCTGAAAAAAATAAGTTTTCCACTTCGTCGCTTATCGACATTTAAAAACTACAAATATCTAAAAAGTAAGAAGAAAATAGTAAAATAAAAAAAAAAGTAAAGAAAAGCAAAGTTAGTTTTTCCCAATATTCTTTCGAATTTATTCACATATACAATACCTATCGTCATTGAGAAGATGATGCAAACGCGTTCCCATTACATTTCTGTTTCACTAAATTCGCTAGTTGCATCGATGAACTTTGCTTGGGATCGTGTGACAATGCATAAGCATCCGTGTGTATATATGTATATATGTGTCATGTGTCGCGAATAAACGTGTTTGATCGGTCATGCGTAGGAAATGAATAATTTCGTTCACTCAAAGCTGGAACGTAGCCGATTTTCTGATGCGTTAGTGGGTGTCTCTCGCTTTTCTTATTTCCTTTCAATGACGATAAATAGAAAGAAATATATACATATATATACATGTATATATGTATATGTATATGTATATATAAGAAGAGAAGGGGACAATTACCGATGATCGTGCGAAAAGGATAGCGAGTGTGTAAGAGTAAAATTAAGAGAGAGAGAGAGAGAGAGAGAGTGAGAGAGTGAGAGAGATAGATAGAGGGAAAAAGAAAGAAAGAGAGAAGAGATAATGCACGGGTTACGACGCGCATGCTTCCCGCGCAAATCGTGAACCCACGTAGTACTTCCCCCTTCTCTTTATCGTCCCTACCCCCACGAGAAATCTCTGCGAAACCAGAACACCCCGGCCAGTATTCGACATCGCGGCAAACACGAGGTGTTTGACAACGTTCTTCGTCTCGTACACGTACGTTTTATCGCGTCACATTCTATATATCCTATCTTTCTCATTTGTTATTATTTCACTTTGTATTTCATTCCACTCGTCATTTCCTTAACCCTTAAGATAGTATAGAACACGTTCGTCGATCAATCTTTTCCACACCTTTCATTGTAACTCATACATTCGTACTTTACATAACGGATACTCATATATACACGCGTATAAACTTTTCCTTTCTCTTTTTCAATCTTTTCTTTCTCCTAT